CAATTCAGCCTGGACGAGGTCTACCGAGCCGCTCACCTTTTGCTCAGGCCTGATGAACATATGTGCGCTATATTCAAGAGTGGTGTCGCAGAGAGGACGTTTTTAGTTGCTTGTGCACCCATCCCTGCCAGCGCGCACCTAACAGCAGAAAAATCCTTCAAGGCTTTGAATGGTTTGCCACGCCAGGAGAATACAAAATTGATGGTGGGGCCGCTGTTGAGAATATGTACAGATGGCCTGCAAAGAGCATGAGAGGTCAGCCACAAAGCGGTCTGGTAAAAAAAGGTTGCCAAGATGTTGCCCTGCCGGCTGTAAGCGAACAACTGCATGCATCCCATCCGCCCGCAGGCCTTGAGCGACCCAAAGGAGGAATGCAGCCCAAAAGAGGCTGCATGCGCGCGGTCCTGGACTGAGCAGTTAAAAAATGGCGCTCAACTCTAATTAAATCCCAGCACGGGGCTCCCAACACTCGCAATGCCCGTCGCTCCCTTCCCTCAATCGCTCTGCAATGAGATGGGCGCGTCACTTCCAACCCAGCTGGCTGCTGCACTCTGAGGTCCGGTGGCTGTCCGGGCAGGGAGGTCCCTCAACTCGTCGCTTTATCGTGATTTGCGCAAGGAAAGTTATCTCCTCCCTTCCTCACCGAAAATCAACGCTGCGCCACCTGGTCAACGCAGAAATGGAGGACATGAAGCTGGGTTGCAATGTTGGCCGCTAATCTGTCCGATATACATTTGACGGCGGATAAACCGTGTTGAACAGCATCTCTGGAGGGCAAAGAGTGGCAATGTCTTTTGGCTACGATGCAGGTCTCTGCATTCAGGAAAAAGTTGGACGGCTGTGGTGTTCCATGTTGAACGGGCTTCCTGGAAATGTTCCCCAAAAGCGTTGGCAGATGTTGTGGGGGAGGGGCAGACTCGGCAACTGGACTCATACAACGACGTGGTCATCTGCACATTTTGAGGGGTTGCATGAAGCCAATTTGGAGAGTATTTTGGGAGGAGACCTTGGGCAAATCAGTGGGTGAGAAAATCCATTCTCTTTTCGACCCGTGACAAACGCCGTGGATGGAGCTGACGCATCGAAAGAGGAGGAAGAGGCTGTAACTCGAGCTGAACTACGAATATGGAGCTTGAGAAGCAAAAGATGAGTAAAGTGTCACTTGCTCACTTTTTGGCTGTGTGTGAGACCGAGTTCCCGGACCGTTGGCAAAAAAGGCGTTCAAGTGCTATTCCTTCACCTACCACCCTACTGTGTTGAGTGCGGATTTTCGCCGCCTTTGGCATTGATACAACAAA